AAGGGAGTTCCTTTGGTTCCCTTGAAGTATACTCTGTAATGGAACTTCTGGAACTTGATTTGGTTGATCGGTTCGCCGAGGATTTTGAGCTCGTCTGGGATCGATCCACCAACAAAGTACACTCGCCACGCGTTCGTGTGGCAGCTAGTGCCTGGGATTACAGCCCTGTGGCTTTGGTACACCACGTCCACCCCCATTTGAGTTAGTTTGCGGTAAAATTGAGTGGAATCGAATGTATCGCGAATCCCTGTAATGTCCATGTAGCAAAGAGGGTCAAGCGGATGCTCCTCTTGCATTGGAATTGGGTATTTCTTGCCCAGTATGGACAAGTACTGCCCTCCAAGTGTTTTGCGCACACTTGCAGATGTCACCGAAATCATGAGTCCGCCCCGTCCAAGACGGGTGACTTGGACAAATTCGGGTAGCAGCGCCTTCACAGTGTCCGTTTGAGTGCTTGCAAACAGTGACGACATGATCGTCTCATTCGACAGGTTAGTTAGCGCGTCCCCGGTGTCGACAGTAAACCGAGCTGTGGCTAACTTTGGTGTGTACGGCCGCGCCAGATCGATCTGATTTAACACGTCGGCGCGATCTCTCTTGGGCTTAGCAAGCTCCAAGAGGATTGCGTCGATAGCCGCCGCAGGTGGCGTGACGAATGCTGCCCTAGCACTCTGACGAGTGGCGGCTGTAAAGCCACGGAGGACCTGACTGTAGTCGAGCGGCTGTTGGTTGCCGCTGTTCCGAGCAGCAGGTTGGAGAGGTGTCGAGGTCGCTTCGACCGCGGGCGTCGATGTTGAAAGTCCAGGGCCGTCGCCCACGTTTACAACGCTGATTGGCTGGCTGGAATCCACGCCAAACGCGGTGATTGGTTGGTTAAACTCCACGTTACCCAAGTTGCGACTTCTGATTGGTTGAAAATCCAAATCAGGGCCCGCACTGGGTAAAACGGAGTTGTCAGGTTCAAATGTCGTCACTCGCGACGGCGATGGCTGCAGCGACGGCGTCAGCGGCACGGAGCGCAACGGAGCCGCCGATCCAAGTGGACATGAAGGCTCGCTGACCGTGGCCCGAGGGCGGTCCGAATCAAGCGGTGGCCAAGCGTCACCAGTGGACGGGCGGTCTTCCACGTTGGCATCGACGGGCGGCGCGGCGGTCGGCGACGCATCGGTCGGTGGTGGGAACAAACTCGAACGAGGTACGGTGTCTGCACCGCGAGACTCATTAGGACCTTGGAGTAGGTCTCCTGAAGTCATTGCGGCTGATGCGCAGGGCAAGCGAGGCGTGGTGTCGTCAGCAAGGGGGTGAGCATTCGACATGGGTGCCAGGGAACAAGGGTACTTTCTGCTTAACTGCGGGTTGAAGTAGCAAAAGTCATTGGACTCAAGGAACACGAGTTCAGAGCTAGACAACCTTGGAATACTAGTTTTATGAAACACTGGAAGCTAATATGCAAGCGAAGACAAGATCTAGGCAGGCTAATCATGAACGCGATTAACCTGCGTTGATTTAGCAGCACAAGTATCGAATATTCTTGGCCCCAAACTCAAGAGTGGCAAATGTCAAAGAGAAAGTGATCGAAAACCTGACGCGGCGTAACGGTTTTGAGTCTGTCGCGTGGCCCGAAATCGAAGAGCACTACGAACGGTATCCCTCACACTTATATGGCAACCCTGCGGCATGGTGGAAACAGTGAAATTTCCAAAGTTTTCCTGCATAACCATATTAGCCATCGCAAAAGTTTTGACCTCAAGCTTGATCCTATAGGACGACTTTACCGCTCAATTCTATGACGATGTAGTGCTTGTCAAGCGCGGCGAATTCGTGATGTGCCCGACCGACGAGAACGTGAAGAACCCCGACTTTTCCAAGGCCGCCCACGTCATCAACAACTCGTGGGGCTCTGACGATGAGACGGAGATATTCTATGGCGCGACGATCGCCGCTTGGCGCAAGGCGTATATTTAGCCAATGGTGACAAATACCAGTACGACATGATATCATGCATGCTTTATATTGGATACACTACCATATCAATGCACGAACTTGCTCACTTTATGTCGCAATCATACAATATAATGCAATGCAATCCGTCCTACGTTGGAACTTTCAATACTACAACAACATCACAAACAATACGAATAATAGCTCACACCGTAGAGTTCCCGCTCGAAGCCCGTGTGGTACAGGGTTGATTCCATGACGTCGATGTATGCTATGCCGTATAGTCAGTGTGCATTGAAACCTCAACATGTCCGTTGTGGTATCCTAATGGGCCTTACCGAACGCGAGGCCGTAATAACCTATTATTCATTGACGTTCACTATATTTTGT